AAAGAAACAAAACAAAAAACAAACAAAGAAAAAAAACCACCACCAAGGACCCAAAAGACAAAGTCAATTAAAGTTGATGAATATAGATGGGTGATAACTTGCAGAGATCGCAGTCATACAACATGACATCAGCCTCCCATTTCATGCACTTTTTTTATCACGTTTTAGTCATAACATGCAAAGGGAACACAAATAACTAAGAATCATTACTGTTATCTATAATATTACTTTTTATGGGAAAAACAGAATCAATTACTTAAAATTTCTTGGAAATGCAGAACTCACCAAGCAATGAAGAAAATCTTGCTTTTCTGGCAGTTCTCTTCAGTAACAAAGTCAAAATCATAGATTGCATATCGGCAATCATTTTCAGGTAGAGCAGTCATGAAATCATCAAAGCTCTCAGCAGCACCTCCCGTCTTCTCCACTATAACCTCCTTTAGCTTCTCATCTATCTTGAAAATCACATATCGATGCACCTTCTTCCTTTGAAGCTCCAAGAATATGTCCTTGCAGTGGTCAGCTACACCCATTCCAGAGGATGCATTTGACTAAAATAAGATGAGTTGGTAGTCAGATGTCTAAAAACAAACGATCATCTTCGACTTATGAAATTAAAGAAATTACATATAAGATGAACTTATTGAACCATCTAAAGCTGTGATTCAGATTACTCCACCCCCCACCCCCACCCACACAATTCAGCACATATTGATACATATTCTAGCCTAAACATCAAAAGGAATCTGCACTCTTAAAATAGAAACATGAGAGCCCTCATCTAGGTTGCACGGGTACGGGTACGAACACGGTATATATATATATATATATATATATATATAACATTAACAATTATATCAACTATAGCAATTTTACTATGTTTAATTTCAAATTTTCAATAAAATAAGCTCATCCCTTAAAATTATAAAGTAAACTCATTTGAAACTTTGACTTTATATTCCAAAAAAGAATAAATAAATAACTACGTACGTATATACATACATACATATACACTTACCTATTTAAATATGAGAACACGTGTCTCACATTCTTAGCATTGTCATTAATTTTAAAGAAAAGACAAAAGCAAATAGTCAATCACCCATGTGAATGGTGATGTCGTGTTCCACTAACAAATTTAAAACTAAGGAAATAAGAGAGAGTCTTCTTCTTCCTTGCATCTAAACTCATTTTCGTCTGCTCCAAAACTCTTGTGTCCCCTCTATTTGGGTGCAGAAACGTACCCAAACCGCGCCCGACACGGGTACGGCGCCAAAATTGCCGTGTCGGGGTATCATAGGCCCTTATTAATACGTAAACCATCAGAGCTAAGAGTGCATATATCTATTACTTGAGGACAAAGAAAAAAGCAAAAATGGGAAACCATTAATAGTCAAATTGTGGTCAACTGTAAACCGATGAAATTAAAGTGTATGTGTATGGTTTGCATTATAAATATAGGTGCATTATGTAAGATTTATCACCACGAAAACATCAAATGAAGTGAAATAATGAGTTGTTCAAATTTCATATATAGCCACACTGTCAATATATAGCAGGGTTTGTTCTAAAGCTATCAAAGTGTCACTAACTTCTAGGAATATACTAGGGCATAACTATAGAACCAATTGTAGGACGGCACTTCGACAAAAGAGACAAAAGACACTCAAGCCTTTGACTATGAACATGAAACAAAAATTAAGAAACAAACAAAATTTACATGAAAATAACTTGACTGGTTAAAATATGTACAGGTCCTTGTACATGATCTCTAAAATATCCTTCAAAACAGTTTCGAATTTTCTTAATTTTTTATTAAATAATTTCTCAACATTACCCGGTCAGTTCTCTTTTGTATCTTCTTTTACTTGTGTTAGCCTACAAATAAGGCTGCCTAAAAACAATTTAACCAGATTTAGTTGACTGATTTAAGTGAAAGACAGGTTTGTGATGACAGCCTTGTCCTCCATATAACCTCTTCTCTTTCTCCTAACTCCTGCACTACATCTTTGTAGGAGCATGAAAACCAATAGCTTCACTGCTAAATGCTCCAGAAGTACCATAGTCACACTTGACATGCACTAAGTCTGTAGTTCCAAAGAAAAGCATCAGCTTCTGTTGGCACCATCTATGAAGCACGGACACGCATAACATGAAGCCGTGTCGTGTCGTGTCCGTGTCGGACACACGTGTCGAACACACGTATCCTATGTATTTTTTAGGATTTGCCTCGTGTCGGCGTGTCGGATGGCCGTGTCGGATCCGTGTCTGTGCTACATAGGGCACCATTTCCAATGTTTGTCCCCAGCTCCCTCTCTATTGACCTTACTGACCTAAAAAGGTCAGTCATCATACATATTGAAGGCTTGATTGTAACTGGAATATTTCTGTCATTAGCTCAAAATATATATATCTTTGATATAACAAGTTAGAACCAGAAAGACATTATCATTGCTCAAAAATTGTTACCAACTTTTTCATCATGGTATTGAGGAGGAGGAGGAGGAGGGCGGGGGGGGGGTTCACCAGATGCAGAAAGCAACTACCCACAAACTCTGCAACAAGTTTCAATTTCCTTAAGAATTTGTGTCATCTATCTATAACAATTATTTATTGAAGATTTTCCGTTTTCGACAAATCAATGAAGCTACACCAAATGCCACTAACTTCCAGAGAGAAGACAATCTCATCATTTGAGGTCATATCAGCAATCTCCCTTTAAAAAAGTCGAGCGAAGACTAGATTGATTGAATGCCATAAAGATGGTGAAAACAAATCAAGAGTCATCAACCCACTCAAATCGAGCTGCCAAATAGTTTAACACTGTTGAGTATACAAGTTCAATGAATCATCAAAGGTGTGCATGTACTAAAATGTAAGGTTTCTTGTAACTGAATTTCACAATCTCCCACACTCTTCAAAAAGGAGAATATTGTTTTCAGAAACAATATTACACACAAATACTCAATAACCCCCAACCCAAACACCCAATGAAAATATGAAGAAACCTACTCTAAAACTTTGGATGCACAAGATAATTCGTAGTCATTGTTTTTGCAATAAGATGACATAGAAAAGGGCATTATACTTCTGTCGTTCTCAGGTGTGGCGGTTTTCATTCAATCCGATAACAGACACAAGGGGAATGCAAGCATAACTAGGTTCGAGTCGTTATCAGGTCGATGATCTGTAAAATAAATGGATCACTGGACCCGATTATGACATAAGTAGAAGTTAAAGAGAAATTTCTAGTTTGAATCTGCAATTCGATCTATAATGTTATGATGGATATCCGGATTAAGTGGTTTTTGGAGGTTTTATCTGCAATTGCTTTGTCTAAACCACTCAAATCAACCCCTTTTCAATTTTCCATTTTTTATGCAAATGTAATACCTTTTTTTAAAAGACAGCACTTCATTCTACCTATTACCAATCAAAAAAATAAAAAGCATACTACCAGTCTGAGTAGCAATATGAAATAATAGGACTACTCGAAGTTCAATTCGAACATTAGCTAATCCAATCAATCCATCCCCTTATTATCTATATTTGCATAATATAAAAGGTAATTATGCCACTTAATCCAGATATCTACCGAAAGGAGCTCAATCCTTAACAAATTCTACTCATACCCAAAAATCAATTTTTTTCTACAATATATTGACTTAGACGATAAAAACTCCCTAGGAAAGGTAAAAACAATTGAAAGGATCGATATTTTTTCATATTAAGATCTAGCACAGAAAACAGTCAAACAACAGCATAAACCCTAATCTCTCCAAACATGAACAAATCAAAATCAATACCTAAAAAAATACGATCAAAACTTACAGATGATCGAAGGAGAGTTGCCATTAGAATAATCAGGGAAGAAAACTACCCCCCAAAAAAATTAATAAAGAACGAAAATCGAAGAGCTCTGATGTGCTCGCAATCGCAATTTGAGAGGAGAAATTGGAATTAAATACGAAAATGAAAGATTCTGTGTATTTTAAGGGTGAGAAGTTGTTCGATGGGATCCACCGTTGATTGGAAATTGGATGGATGAGAATGTGTTTGTTTTATACTAGGGTGAGTCTGGGGTCGGAGAATGAGATATCAACCGTACACGTGTGCTTGCAAAGTACGCTAACTAATGGACGGTTAGATCGTAAGCGGTGACGGTCAGATTTTGTTACGCGCTAAAGTCAATGCAATTTGGCTAATTAGCACCAAAACAACTAATAGTTTCACTATATTGCACTTATATACCATCATTTTTTTGCAGCACTTAAATACCTTAAAATTTGAAAATTTTTACTTTAATACCTTATGTTATGCAAAATGTGAGAATTCTCCTGTGATTTTCACATGCCAATTTGTAGAATTTTCCAATACTTATTTTTTAAATATACTATTAAATCTACCCTAGTGCTATTTTAAACCTACCCTAATTTTATTTTGAAATATCCTAATTTGATAGGTTAAATATTAAATTCAATAAAAAAATTCTGAAATTGACATGTATGTGTGTGTGTATATATATATATATATATGTATGTGTGTGTGTGTGTATATATATATATATATATATATATATATATACACACACACATACATACATACATACATATAACCGCCTCATATGCTGCCGTTGCCCTACCTCTACCGTAACGGTTTTGAACTCTATTGCGACGGTTTTTTGAACTGTTACCCCCGCATCTAACGCAACGGTTTTAAAAGGTAAGTGGTTTTTAAGCCATTGCAACGGTTTTGATTGAGCTATTGCAACGGTTTTTAAGCTATTGCAGCGGTTTTGATTGAGCTATTGCGATGGTTTTCAAGCTACTGCAACGGTTTTTTTAGATATTACATCAGTTTTAAAAGACCTAACGTAACGGTTTTAGTAGGCTAAAGCTATGGTTTTGATAGAGCTACGGCAACAGTTGGAGCTATTGCAACAGTTTTAAAAGACCTAACGCAACGGTTTTAGTAGGCTATAAGTATGGTTTTAATAAAGCTACAGGGACAGTTGGAGCTATTGCAACAGTTTTAAAAGACCTAACGCAACAGTTTGGATTGAGCTATCGCAACAGTTTAGATCGAGCTATCGCAGCGGTTTTGATCGAGCTATCGCAATGGTTTTAATCGAGCTATTGCAACTGCTCAATCGAAGCTGTTCTTGGTTTCCTACGTCAAAATAATTATAGTATTCAATTACCTGGACAATCTTTTTAAGAACATGGCCAAGTCAAATTTTAATACACAATATAAAAGTGATTATATTGAGCATAATCAACCATAATGATAAGTGCCAACATACATCAGTATAGTATAAAAACTACAAAGTATTAAATCCACACTACCAACATTTCAACTCAGAAAATATTGTACCGAACTAACATTCAAACAATGTACTTCAACATTTTATTACAAAACATGAAACTTCTCGGTCAAAGACTATATTCTCTATGTGTTTCCAAAAACTTGTTCCTCAATGTCAAATACTCACTAGGAACCTGTCAGTATCAATCTCAATCTTGGCTTTCATCATTTCTGTACCTGTGTAAATTTCCATGAATCAGCATAATTTTTGCAATGATGATAATAAAATTGGGGAAAAAAGATGTTTGAAAAGGAAGTTAAGAGAACAATGTACATCATGCTTGTTTGTTGCCACAACCAAATCCAACCATTTTAACAAAAAAGTGTTTGGATAAATTGGGGAAAAAAGTATGTTGTTTCAAGTTGCACATGTGACAAATATTACACGGATGCTTCCCAAACAATGAATTTAGGATTGAGAATTCTAGATTTGAAATTACCTCAAATGATCTCTTCTCTTTTGAACTTGATCTAGAATCACCCACTGTTACAGTTTGTCCAAATACTAGTCAATGTCTGCACATGCATCCCTAAGGGCAAAATTGTCATATCAAGTTTTGTAAAATTCTCTAACCGTTAATTCTTGTGACTTTCTTCACGCTAATGTAGCAATGCCATTTTATCCCTAAAAACTAAAAAATTTATCCCTACTTAGTTTTAAACTCACTTACTCGAGAAGAGATTTTGCTTATAAATCTAATACATTATATATGTATATAACATGAAGTAACTTCATAATGAAAAGCACATACAGTCAATACCTTGCCCATGGTATGAAAACTAAGCTCAAGAAGAAACGATATCAGATCTGTGGGGTCCACGCCACAATCCTTCAAACAATGAGCAAAAACCAAAACATTAGAATATAGAAAAAGTACATTACACATGCACACAAACAGTCACATAAATGTAAGCATGCATACGTCCATACATGTATATATGTATGTATAAATTAATTAATGCATGAATAGTTATACGTGTGCGCATACATAGGTACATTGGACCAACATAAATGCATGTGTATAAGATGTGCATAGATAGATAGAGCATCAACTGTGTCTTCCCCTTAAAATGGAGTTAGATATGGACACAACAAAAGATTTATAAAATTTTATAAAAGTATCAAGTCCTTGATCATCGATGGGCACATGTAACAACAAGAAATATGCTAATCTTGCTGAAAGCTATGGAATGAGTGCTAGAACTTCTTACCTCAGAAGATGAGATATACTCCCCTACTATGTACCACAGTTGGGCATTGGTTTCCATCAGCTGTTTAAAGAAACAACCATAAGGTAATATCAAGGTGAATACCGAACTTATTAATGAAGTTTTAATAGAAACAAACCAGGAACTGAAAACCATACTTAATTAGCGTCGCAGCTTCATTTTCCCTGCATGGCATCAACACTTCTAAATGTTTGATTTCTGGAGCAACGAGAGTAGCTTGACGATGAAACGAACAAGATGAAAACGATGACGAAAGTAAATGGACTCCGGCGAGGACTGAAAACGGCGACGAGACCAACGAGAGTAGGTCGACGATGAGAATGACAACAAGCTCGAAGATGATATCGGAGAGGAGATTGAAGATGAGATCCAATATGAAAACAACGACGAATTCAGTGATGAGATCGCCGATTATATGAAGATCTTGGCCACAGCGATTTTAGGGAGCGGAATTTTTTGGCTCGCACTAGTATTGTAAATTTTGACAAACTATGAAGATTTTCTTTAGAAGGTTTAAATGCATACCAGTCGTGCTGAAATAAATCCCCTGTCAAGGATGAGAGGGACATAATTTGGACCACTTGTGGGAACAACATTAATAACCCAAACAGATTTTCCTGCATTTAACAGTGCAGCATAGAACCCACCTAATCAAGCATTCATGTCAAGCACATTTCTGAGCATGTTAAAAGGTGGAGAGGGATCCTCATCACCAGGCCTCTTTGGATGATCCGAGAAAATCAGAGGTGAAAGAAGAGACCAATAGTTGCGAACAACAGAGTTCCAATTTAATGCGTCCTCGGCTAAGTCCTTTGAGTGCAAATTTGATGAACGAAAAATAAAATTGTCAATCGGTGTAAAAAGAAATTACAGTTTAAACTATGATCATTTCAAATTACCATGAATTGCAAGTTCAGTTGAGTTTGGATTAACCTAAGAAAAGTCTGTCCACTTGGACCAAGAAAATATCATCTGCATCAGTCAGTTCAAATGTTATTTATTCAACTTCATAATGCAAGATCCAAGATAAGCATTTCCCAACAAAAAAATATGCTGGATCCACTGTTACATAAGAATTGTTAGTATCTTAATGAGCATGTCATGATCAAAGCAAATGATTTAGTATCCAATTCAGTGAGGCATATTCACATTATAAGCCTACTTCATTGAATCTAAACATTTGTCTTAAGCTGATGTAATCTCTCTTATTGACCAATATGGGATATGTTAATGGTGATATTTTTAATGCATAGCTTACCAATTCACATGCAGGTCCAACTATGCCTATAAAGCAATCATGCCCTGTTTACATGCAAGCATACATATCATATCGAGTCAGTTCTATACATGAGCCTCTGCTACTAATTTTTATGTAGACAGACACATTTATTTTTCTATTTTGATAACATAAGTAAAAGTTACATGCACAAATCAACTAGTAGAATGATTGATCAGTAGTTTTGCATTCAACTGAACCAGAAACGAAGTCAATCATCTAGAATTTACCACAAAGTCTGAATAAGAAATAAAGTATAAGAGAAAAAACATACCATTCTTCTCCTAGTCGATTCCACATCTTGCGATGCACATTGTTAGAAGCTGTTTTGAGAAAAGATGCGCTCCTAAGCTGCCGAAGCCACACCCAATATCTAACACAGTTATGGACTTATCTATTATATATGCTAATATATACAGGTGTATGCTAATATATACCTCTGAGATCAGAACAGAATTCTTGATACCACAAAGATTAGTTGCATAATGAAGTCCCCAATCTATGCGGTTAGCCACCTGTTCACTCAAGATGGAAGTGCAAGCTAAAACAAGAGCCATGTTAATTTAGATAGAACCCAACAGTATGCACTAGTTCAACTCCAATCTACAATTAATGTACACAACACTGACGCTTATCTTCCCAGTCCCAACCAATGCACACTGTTGGGTTTTCTTAGCTCAATTAATTTAGATATCTAGACTAGTGATCTCTTGTAGACATTTATATAGAAGCCTGGCAAATGTCACTAAGAAGTCTGCAAATATTTAAGACGTACATGAGGATTTAGGTATGAATTTAATCACAATTTCCATAAATGTGAAACGTGCCTAGTGCATCAAATATTCATTGTGTATGAAATTTTCACTAGGCTTCTATGGTGAATTTGGTGTCTATGAAGGTTAGTCTCATGCATTCAAGAAAATAAGTCATCAATGGGTCATAAGAAAGTGGATAAATCAAATTTAACACAAGCAGTCCAATTTCAATGATACTAATGGTGCATCATTTAGCTTACTAGTCACACATGAGATTAAGATCATATGAGCTACTAGAATTTTTTTTTACAACGTAGATTACATGTGCATATTAGTCAATAAGAGGCAATGATGCATGCCTCACTTACAGATGAAACCATTGACCTCGTCCAAAAAAAACTGGGGACAAATCATGATATGACCACTCACTTCATATGTTTGTCCAAACGGACAGTTCGAACACTTAAACCATAAAAAATGTTGAGGTCTAATTCACGTCAAAAGATTAATATCCTGAATTTAGCAACACACCGACACAGATGACAAATGTGGTCCTCAAGGTGATGTATTATTCACCTGTTAATACTTAATAAGCTTGACCTTGTTGGTGATTTGATTCTAAGCCTGGCCAACAAAGATGTGATCTGAAGGGATATTAGTTTTATTTATTTCTCATACCAACTGGTATAAGCAAGGAATTAATCATCAGCAGCTTAAATAGCAAACAGTTTAGATAAGCTCATAAAGAATTATGAGACTTGACAACTAAAGCTTCTTTAATGGTTCAACAAATTTTGACACTGTTTTAATAAGCATTCAATTAGCATTCAATAAACCATAACTCTTAATAAACTACATGCCATCTATCTGAAGCTTGAAGTCATCACTTTGAATTCATCAGCACCCTTCATATATCTAGTACAGATTTAAGTGCAAGAGACCAAACCACTTGAAAAGATAAAAGAAGTTATCAATCAGCAATCATGTAAATTTCAATGTAGAGGACAAAAGGCAGGAAATAGCAATCAGAAAATAAATTCAGCTGTATGGTAAAAGAATGTAAAGCTAAAATAAGATCAGGTATAGGGTAAAAAATGTGAAGCTATCTCTATTAACATACCTATTACTATTTAAAGAGAAAGGCAAGAAATAGACATGTACCTTTCAATGTAGAGGACAAAAGGCAGTAGCGACGAAGGAGGAGGAGGAGGAGGAGGTAGAGGAGCTCGAATCTACAAATGAAGGAGGCGGAGCTCGAATCAGAGGAGGAGCTCGAATTAGGGATTTTAGGGGAGGAGGCGGCGATAACTCCGACGACGGCAACGATGAAGAGGAGCTCGAATCTACAATGGCGAGAGAGAGGGAAGGAGGGAGGGCGGCGCTGGTTTTGGCGACGAGAAAGGGAGGGAGGCGGAGAGTGAGCTCTGACGATGACGATGAGAGGAGGGCGACGGCGATGGATTTGGCGAGAGAGAGCGAGGGAGGGAGGGAATTAGAGAGAGATCGGAAATTTTTGGGAGCGGAATTTTTTGGCTCGGCGGCGATTTTAGGGATTTGAGAGAGAGACAGATTTCCTTTGAGCGGTGCGGTCAAACCATGGGCTTTACTAAAGCTCTCCAAAGGCCACTAACAATTATTAAGCCCCGTTAATAATATTTATAGGGTAAAAGAATACAAGGAATTACATATGGAGAAACTATTAGAATATTTAGAGATAACTTTAAAAGAATTGAGTTATTTCCATTGCAAATGGGAAAGTGATGGAAATAAATCTAAAATTCAGAAAACGTCAATGAATCACTTGAATTGGCATTAACATAAGACATATCTATTAATGAAGCACTGAATGAGTTACATTAAAAAATAATTTAATAACTTTATCCTAATCAAAGAAAAAATCTCCATGGAAGACATAAGAAAAATTAGTAAGTATTCATAAATTCCATACTGTGTTCTTCAAATTAAATATTAATATTATAATCTAAGAGAAATTGGTAATGAATAATGCAGGTATTTAGTTTAGATCTTTATGGAAAATGACAGGGATAGAGCAAAGGTAATATTATTGAAATAACAGAAATTCTTATTGGATGCACATCAGAAGAATTCATTTTAGAGGAAAATAAAGAGATAGCTTCTAATTTATTTAAGTAATAAATTAGGAACACAAAGAATTTTATATATATGAAATTAATATTTATTCTTATTGAAATAGAAAAAAAATCAAAGTCTATATTTTGAGCAGTTTGTGTTGAACATCATAAGTACATTTGACTTCTTTGTAAAGTTAAATGAGATGATAAAAAATTAACGAGCCTAGGAAAGATAATAGCATAAAAAATACAAAATTAACCTGATGTCACAATTAATGTAGATGATGAAGACAATACTCTAGAATTGTTCGAGAAATGATAAATGATAAACCTAAAGAAGGATTGATCTTAACTCAATAAAAAATAAAATAGAAAAAATAAAAACAATATTTTATGAATATTTTATAGAATAGTTTAATTATTTTGAGTGAAATTAGGAATCTTTAGAAGGGAGTTTCATGAATTTTTTTCAGTACTTTTATATTCTTATGTGGACGTTTTTATCATATAAAAGTATACTAGAGTTAGCATTAATCTTTAATTTATATTTTTTTATAAAGTCTATCAATGATTAGGAATAAACTTCATATTCTTTTTTGCATCGTTTTAAGTTTTAACATACTTTAAATCAATCACGGTATTAAATCACGTGCATTGCACGTGTGTAAAAACTAGTAAATAGAAATACATAGAGGGGGTAAATACTAGGAGGTGAAGTTAATTCACTCTAGTTTGGATTGAGGGGAATGAGGGTGAAGGGAAGTTAGGGGAACCATTCACTTCCATTCACCTTGTTTGAGAATACTTAGGAGGTGAAGTTAATTCACCCTAGTTCCCCTTGGTTCACCCCCTAATAGTATAAAATTTGTTACCCCCCAAATTGGGGTGTAACCAAGGGGAAGGGAACTATCTTCCCTTCACTTCCTTTTCTTTCCCTTCCCTTCTCTCAGTTTCCCTTAACTTCCCTTCACCCCCTACAAATCCAAACAGGCCCTTAGTCAATGATTGTTATTTCTTACAAGTATTAATCCCATGCTAGTGTCGATTGTTTTGATTTATTTGGTTTATATATGTTTATATATATGCTCTTCAAATAATAAAATAGATTATTGATTATATAAAGACTATAATTTACAGATCATCTATTAAGTAATACATTAATAAATGAAAATACAATGAGTACATCTTTTGGTATGTTATGAGAAGAAGAAGATAATAGAGTTTTTTATATAGTTTGATTAGCAGGTTTTTTTAAGATAAATTACAATCTAAGTTTGAAAATTCAAAATTGGATAGCTTAGGCTTTGTGTAGATATCATGGTGTGTTCCTTGTTTTCATGGTGTCTTTGTCAAAAACAAAACATCATGCATTTGGAACCATAGTGCTTTTTGAGCTAAATCATCCTCAAGCTAAAAACAAAATACTTATTTTAAAATGCCTTTCAGGTGTTTTAAGTTTGATGTTTTGGTTTTGATTTTGAGGAGGCATTAATATAATATATAACGCAATATATTAAATATAATTAATATATAGTTATTATCGACATGATTATTATATTATTTAAATTATATTATACTATATTATAGTTCATCTAATATATTAGTAATATTTATTAAATAATATAAAAATATATTAATAGTTAAATATATTACATAATAATATAAGAACATATTAAATACTAATATTTAATATATTGATAATGTATTATATAATAGCATACATAAATTAATATAATAAAAAACAATAATAAAATATATATAAATTAATAAAAATAATAAAAAGGTTATTGATAACATAAAATAATGTAATAATGATATAATAATATACTATACAATGTTATAATGACTATAGTATTATTACTTTTTTAATAAATAATATGTAATAAATTAATAAGTATAAAATGTTATATAATAGTAACATATTTAATAATAAAACTACAATAGAATAATAATATGATAATTATATATTATATAGCATATACTATATAGTAAATGTAGTATAATATAATTTATTAATAAGTAATATAATAGTAATAATATTATTATTACTATATTTTAATAATAATAGTATACTATTATATTAATAATATAATAACATTATTTTAATATTATTATATATTTTATTTCAATAACAAATTGATATACCAAAATAATTAAATATATTTTTATTTGAAAATAATATATAATAATTATAACGTAATATAATACATTAAAGTATAATATAAAATTATAATACACTATACAATATTATATTGTATTATATTTACCATTGTCATATATTTCATACTAATATTATAATAGGTCAAACAAGAGTTGACAAAAAACACTCATCATGATGTTTTGAAAATATTTTTGGGGGAAAAGCATAGCACTACGTTATCCAAACGAAACCTTAACCATCAATCTCATTTACAAATCTAAATAAGAATTTATGAATTTTAAAAACTAGAAAATGACTGTGATATCAATATGTTGAGATTTCAATCAATGCTCATGTTTAGTTAGCGGGATTAGGACACGAATCAGGTTAGGACTTTCCTCTAATCCCCTAAAGTGGGTAATAGAAGTTCCATCATCTCCTAGTATTAAGGACACATGACTTTCCATGACCATTATACCCTCTATTCGATGCCTTCCCCACACTAATGATATATGATAATATTAAAATATAATACGTTTAATTAGGATGTGGTATGTAATTTGAGAATTTTTAAGGGTGCTATTTGTAAAATTTTGAGGTTGTTTTTAATTTTTAAAACTTTTAAGGGGTTGGTTGTAAAGTTTTTAGTACTATTTTGTAAAAAATTATATGGTTATTTATAATTTACTAAACTTTCAATGAGTTTTTTTTTAAATTCAGCATGCTTGTAATTTTGGAAACTTTTAAGGGGTTGTTTGTAAAAATTTTAAGGAGTTGTTTATAATATTTTGAAATTTTTAGCATAGTGATTGTTATGTAATTTAAAAACTTTCATGCGTATAGTTGTGAAACTCTCAAATGATTTGTTTTTTTATTATTTAATCTTAAGGGAAGTTTACAACTTTTGTAGGCCTATTTGTAATTTGGTGTGGTGTTTGTAATTTTTAAAACTTTGAAGGGATCATTTGTATAAATTTTAGGAAGTTATTTGTAATATTTTACAATTTTCAGCATGCTTAGAGCTTTCATGAGGCTATTTATAAAATTTTCAAATGGATGTTTGTGATTTCAAGGGGTTGTAAAATTTTTAATTTTTGGATTTTAAGGGGGTATATTTATAATTTTTAAATTTAATGGGTAGTTTGCAAATTTATTATTTTTTAATATTCTGTTATCTAATCATAAATGTGGAAATTGATAAAGAAATCAAATTGTCAATTTTTTTGACATTTACAAGTCTTTAATTTCCTTACACTGCTAAAAAAAGGGGTTTTGCCTATGAAAATATAGCGACGGATATTTCCGTCGCTATAACATGACTTATAACGACAGAAATATACGTCACTATATTTTCGTCGGAAAAAAGTTTTTGCCGACTGAAAAATCCGTATTAGCGACGGAAATTTTCTGTCGCTTTAATTTTACCGACGGTTTTTTAGCGACAGAAATTTTACGTCGCTAAAATGTTTTTTAGCGACGGAAATTTCCGTCGCTAAAAAAGAAAATCAAGAAAAAAGAAAACCGGGAAGAAATTAACATCCTTGATTCTATTAATTTTCCTAATTGAGAAAACTTGATAAAAATATAATTCCATTAAACTTGCAGACCTGAACGAAATGGTCTAACCTTTATTTATACACGGCACCATCATAAGGTAAAAATAAAATAAAATAAAATAAATCCTCTTATGTCTCCAAGAGAACACTCTCTTCAACCATCCGATTAGTCTCAAAATCAAGTACAAATTTTCAAAACCGATTCATTTACAAAAATATTCGCAAAAAACGACCTATTCCGAAAATAATTGTCAAAACCGACCTAGTTTCAGCCATCTGGCTAAAACTGGGTCGGTTTTGGTAAAAAAACTTTAAAAAATTTAGCAGACATTTAATTAAGCTGCGTAACTTCATGGGAGTTCAAGTCCCGTGAAGTTTTTTAGAAGCAAAAAACTTCATGGGACTTGAAATCCTGTGAAGTTTGAGCTGAATTTCCAGGCTCTAGAAATTCAGCCTGCAACTTCACGGGACATCAAGTCCCGTGAAGCTGCTGTGAACGTGGTCTCGTGGTGGCGTGGGGACCACAACGCATTGTTAACGCGTTTTGTTAATGC